GGTGGGGTGCCTCCTGGGTGGAGGGCTTTGTGGGGGTGGAATTCCTAAAATTCCCTCCCGGAGCTTCCTAAGCCCCCTTGGGGAAGGACTGCTGAGAGTCCCCTAAGCTGGCCCCCAGGGAGAGGGCTGGGACCCGCCCACCCAGGTTGCTGGCCCGTGGCAAAACTTCTGATATGTAAATACTGCTTTGTTACTGCTTTCCTTCCCTCTCAGACACACAAAAGGCCCATCGGTTGTTACTGAACAGGAACAAAACTTTAGCTTGTTTTTACGCTTTTCCTTACTCCGCCCTGCACAGAAACTCCCCCTTTTGTCTTTGGCCTCTCAGACACACCCGGGTTAATGTCTACCTGGTTACTGAGACGGGGTGACTGGGCCAAGGCCTCAGCGTTTGGGCGAGCTCTAAGCGGTGCTGCTCCAAGCATGGCCCCTGGCCACCTGGCATCAGCACCCGCTGGAAGTGTGCAGGCCCCAGACCCTCTGGTTTGGAGACTTGGGGAGGTGGGGTTGCAGTCTGGGCTTTAATGAGCCCAAGTGACTTTACGGCGGCACGAGGAGTCACAGGTGGATGAGACCGGGTGCACAGCTGCAGGGAGGTGTCCCCAGTGAGGAAGGAAGGGTGGCATTTGTGCCACAGCGCACCCGTGAGAGTCAGGACCAGCGGCCGGAAGTCCCCAGAGGCAGGTTTCTGAGAATTGGAACAGTCCCTAGGGAGGCCAGCTGCTGTCTTGTGCTGGGGGGACCTCCCCAGTGGGTCCCTGTATCCAAGTGATCAGAAGTGGGCAGAGAGCAGAGGACGTGCCCTGGCCTGTCGGGAGTCCTGGAGTCCCCCACGCACCCCTCCCTTCCCTCTTTGTTGAAGGCCAGGAGTACAGGGGCGTGGTCAGAGCTGCAGGGGGGAAGCTGATCTGTCAATCACTGTGTTCCCCTGGGTCCTGGGGAGTGAGGACTGGGCAGGGCTGGTGGGAGAAGGTGAGTTCCCTCGGAGACCAACCAAGCCAGGGGGATGGTAGCCCTGGGGTGCTGGCAACACTGTGACCTCGTTTGGGACAACACAGAAGGCAGAGATACCAAGTCCACTGGATACTCAGCAAATTGCTTACTTTTCAAAAAAGGGAGGAAGATTGTAGAATCAGAGTTGCTGACCCCGCCACCCCGTAGGGCGGGGGTTGTTGAGGAGGAGCGCTGCTGGTGCCGGGAGCCAGGCAGTCTGCTTGAAGGCTTGCTTTTCTCCCCGGACGTGTAGCCTGGGCCGGCTGTGGCAGACCCCTGATTAGAACTGGGGGAGTGTGCTGTCTTGGCAGAGCCGGGAGGGGCTCGCTCATCAGAGGCCTGTGCCCGCAGTGGCGCTTGGTGTCTGATGTCCACAGCTCTGGAGTGACCTTGGCTGTTTTGTCTCGGTTGCTTGGAAGAACACCAGCGCTGTGCTTGCCCGATGGGCCGGTATGCAGCAAAGCTGAGCAAGGGTGCTCAGACGTTCAGGCCACGGCCCCAGGAACCTTAGCAGAGAGGAGCAGGATCTGCCCAAGGCCTCCTGTGTGGATCCAGGGAGACAGGGAGTCCCTGGGGGAGGGGGAGAAGGGAGGCCAGGGGCCACCCTGCACTCTCCAGACCACACCTGGGGCCTTTGGTTCTGAAGAGAGCTCAGAGAAAGCGAGGAGCAGAGGCTACTCCAGGCAGGAAATGGTGTGGGGTGAGGCAGAGGGGAAAACTGGGCTGTGTGGAAGGGGTGTGCTGGGGAGAGGGAGACCCTGGGCCTGCAGCTGAGCAGAGTGACCATGGGCTGGGGAATGGGGAGCAGCCCCTGTGGGGCCCTCCAGGACAGAGCCCAGTGCCAAGGAAGCAGCTGAAGTCCCCAGGGCCCCCCCACCCCCCGCTGTGCGGGTGCAGCGAGAGCCAGCACCTTGTGTTAAGGCTGCGCTGGCCTGCGGTCCCTGCTCCGCGTGGGGCTGCCTGGGACTGAATGGACTCTGTGTGCGTTATTTTCATCCTGGAGAAGTGGCCGTGACCGAGAGGCAGGAGAGCTCACAAACCCCCATCCGAGTGCGGCCTTTTTTTAAACAGCTGTTTTATAATAGTGAACACACGCATGTGGCAGCAGTTCAAGGGCTGTGCCTAGGAAGGCTCTTCAAACAGTCCACGGCAGATGTGCATTTTTTAAAAACTATGCATGGATTTCCAAAAATATTTTGTATCAAAATAAACTTACCTCTTAGTTTCATTTTCCACAGACTTTTTGAACTGCCCTTTGTAAAGAGTAAACCTTGTTTTCAGCCCCAGTTGCCCCCGCCCCAGAAGCAACCAGTGCCACCCAGTTTCTTGTTTGTCCTTCCAGGCATGGTCTGTGAATGTGTGTGTACAAAATCTGCTTTGTATGTGTCTGGGTTGTTTTTTTTATTTTTTTTTTCCCTCATTAATTTAGTGTGCACACAGTTCTGCCCCCTGGTTAATGATGAAGGTCACTTCACATCTCCTTATAAAGAACTGGCCAATTCTGAAAATAACCACAGAGCATCCGTTGTAGGAATCGGCTGTGGCTTCTTTCATAGCCTCCCTAGTGAAAGGTTAGAGTTTATTTAGTTTTTAAGGTTTACTTTTTTATTTGAAAGGCAGAATTAGAGAGAAAGGGAGAGACACAGAGAGAGAAAGAGAAAGAGATCTTCCGCCCTCTGGTTCACGCCCCAAATGGCTACAACGGCTGAGACTGAAGCCAGGAGCCAGGAACCCTATCTAGGTCTCCCAGGTGGGTGTGGGGGTTCAAATACTTGGGCCATCTGCTGCTGCTTTCCCAGATGCATTAGCAGGGAGCTGGATTGCAAGCTCAGAGTATCTGATATGGGATGTGGGGCTCTCAAGTGGCCACCAAACCTGCTGCACCACAGTGCCATTCCTGTTTGCTTTATCATGCAGAGTTTTTTTTTTTTTTTTAAGTTTTTTTTTTTTTATTTGTTTGAAAGTCAGAGTTACAGAGAACGAGAAGAGAAAGAGGCAGGAAGACAGATTTTCCGTCTGCTAGTTCAGTTTCCAAATGGCTGCAGCAGCCAGGTCTGGGCCAGGCTGAAGCCAGGAGCCAGGAGCTACCTCCAGGTCTCCCACATGGGTGCAAGCACTTGGGCCGTCTTCGCTGCTTTCCTAGGTGCATCAGCAGGGAACGGGATCGGAAGTGGTGCAGCTGGGACAGGAGCTGGCGCCCACATGGGATACTGGCATCGCAGGCAGCAGCTTTACCCACTTTACCCACTACACCACATTGTCCCCTGGCATGAAGAATGTTTATGTCTTTGGGGTTTCGGGCTGCTTCTGCCGTTGAAATCTTCGGCCTGGCTTACATGTATTTGCTGTACTGATGCACACAGTGGGGTCCAGCTTTTTTCTTCCCCCTGCCTCGAAGGGATCAGGCCTTTTGGCCTTGTTCCTCTGAGCGGAGACAGGGAGCAGGGTGGGGCTCTGGTGCTGAAGGTCCTGCCCTGTGGTGCCTGCAGAGGGGAAGGGCACAGGAACCATCGCAGCTCCACCGGCTCTCCTGCGGGGCTGCGGGGCAATGCTCTTAGCAGAAGCCTCCTGACCGGTCTCTTTGCCGTCCCCTAGGCTGCCTCCTCCCTCCGAGGGCAGAAGGGTCAGTCCGAGGACAGGACCTGGAGGGCTGTGTGCTGCTGACTCACCCAGCTTCAGGGAGATGCGTCTGGGAACCTCACCCAGGGTTCAGAAAGAGCCCTGCGAGGGAGGGGGTCCTCAGGCCCTGCTGTAGGTGCCCGTTCCGGCTCGCTGCAAGGCTCTACGATGCCACCTGAGTCCCCGTTGCTTTGCCCACGGTCACCTGGGGACCCACTGACCATGCCCACCGGCCTGAGCACCAGGCCCACCGTGAGGGCCCAAGCAGCTTCAGGAAGTCTCTGCAGCTTTCTGAGCCCCAGCGAGGCCCAGTGGATAGAGAGTCCCCCAGGTGCAGTGGTTCTCAAAGTGGGGTCTTCAGATGCATGGCATCACCCAGGACCTTGTTCAAAATGCATATTCTGGTTTTACTGACCAGGAAGGCCTGGGGCCTAGCGGTGTTTTCACAGCCCCTGCAGCCTGAGAGCCGGTGTATCAGGAGGAGCAGCTCCCTGGGGGGCAGCAGGTGATGGCTGAGAGGTCCCAGAGGTCTCCTCACACTCCCTCACCTGCCCGTGCGTGCTTCTGCCAGCTGCAGCCAACAGCTGCTGATTGCAGGAGTGAAGCCTGCAGGGTGGCTGGTGTCGCGGTGGGTGAGTGTCCCTCCTGGGCAGCTTGATTGGCATGAGGCGCTGCCGAAGCGTGTGTGTCCAGAGGACTTGGTGAGAGCCCATGTCCCAGCTGGCAGGAATGGGCTCTAGGCCTCTTTCCTTTCCCCTGCTGGCCTGCACTCGCCGTCTCTGGGCTGCAGCAGCCTCATCTGCAGAAACAGGACAGTGTTGCCTCATTTGCCCATCCCAGGCCCTGCACCCAGAAGCCCTCCCCAGGGCCCCTGTTTCTGGGAGCCCTTGCCTGAGGGACCAGAGGTTGGAGAATGGAGAGTGCATGGGTCAGGTCCCGCATGGGGGGCTGTCGGTGTCTCTGCACAGGGAGATGGGGCTTGCTGCCTTCTCCTGTTGCCAGGTGGCTGGTGATAAGGACATGGGAGGGGAAGGTAAATAAATACAGACCCGGAGCCCTGAGAGAGAGGCAGTGAGGCTGGAGAACAGGTCCAGACACACACACTGCACCTGTGGCAGCAGAGGTGAGGACAAAGCTCAGGTGAGAGCCCGCAGGCCCGTGGCCTTTGGGTCCTGCTGTAGCTGTGGGGCAGGCAGCACGCACATCCCGGCTCTAGCTGCAGGCCCTGTGCGTGGAGGGTGGACCTGGCTTGCCACAGCCGGGCCTGATGCAACTTCTCTTGCAGAGGCCCCCAGCTGTGGTTGGTCTCACCTTCCTGCGAAGCTCCCACCAGTAAGCCTGGCGAGAGGCCTGGTGGGGCCTGAGTGTGTTTTCCTTTTCCCTTCCAGATCCAGCCATGAGCTACCCTGGCTATCCCCCGCCCCCAGGTGGCTACCCACCAGCACCAGGTAAGAGGGTCTGCGGGATCTGCGGGCTGGCGGGGGGTGACCGCTCCTCTCTGCCCAGTGGCCAGGGGTGGAGAGAGCGTGAAGTGCCGTGTGCTCACTGCCAGCCTCCCCACTGTGGCACACCCAGGGAGAGGGCAGCACGAGAGAGAGCACTGGGTGGGGGAGGAGCCGGAGAGGCTGGGTTTGAGTGACCCAGTGTGGGAGGTGGTTGGCTGAGAGGAGTGGGCGGATGCCTTTCTCTGTAAACTGGCTTTGAGGATCTCCCCCTCGCTGGGCCGTCCCAGATGCTAATGCAATGTCCGGTCTAGCCTCTGGCGTGCTGTGCTGTCCCCTACCCTGTGCTCCCGGAGCATGCTGTGTGGCAGGAGGAAGTGGAGGCAGATGCTGAGGGTCACATGTCACTTGCTGCAGCTTGAGTGACAGAGTGAGGCTGTATCCCCCTGTCAGGTGATCAGAACCCAGCCAGGGCAGTGGCACGTCACTTTAGGCCCCTCCTCTTTGTCCTGAAATGAGATTTGGTCTCCTTGGTGGGAAAGGAAATGGGAGAGCTCCTGGGACAAGGGGCGGACAAGGGCATTCCAGGCTGGTCACCCTGAGGGCGCCTGAGCTGTGCTGCCCCCGCCCCTGCCCTTCCACTCTGTTAAGGTGAGCTTGGGAGGGCAGCGCCCCCCGCCCCGCCAGGTCCGGTCTCCCTAACGCTCCACAGAGCATCCTGGAGGTGTTTGCCGAACCTGCCCGCCTCCCTAGGAAGAGGGGACGGCTTCCTCTTCTTGCTCTGTCTGTCTGTCTCACCCTAGCGCTGTGTGTGGCTTGCTGAGCGTCCGGGAGTCTGCACCTCTGCCTGCCCCTGTCCCCGTTTGGCTAAAGGCCTTGGTGTTGATTTCAGGTGGCGGTGCCTGGGGAGGCGCCGGCTACCCTCCGCCCAGCATGCCCCCCATCGGGCTGGACAACGTGGCCAACTACGCAGGGCAGTTCAACCAGGACTACCTCTCGGGAATGGTGAGTCCGCAGCTGCATGGCCAGAGGGACCGGGCTGCTGGCTGCCTGTGGCTCAGAGGATCTGTGTGTGTCCACCGTGTCGGGCTGTGTCTTAGGACAGGAAGGTTTTCATCAGGGCGCTGCCATCTTCTCTGCCCGCCTCTGGGAAAGGGGAGGACCTTGACCCCACGGTCCCTCAGGTTCTTCATAGCTCCGAGGGATTGGGCGGGGCGGGGGGTGGTCAGGGTGTGCTTCCAGGAAATGTTTGCCAGGCACCTTCTTCATGTGCCTCAGCTCAGGTCTAAGAGGGAGGTGAGGGTGTGTCCGTGTGTGCTGTGCACGCGTGTCTGTGTGTGCGTCTGAATGGCTGTCCTGGGCAGGCCTGGATGGGAGTAAGTAGCTTGGTTGTAAGGTAGCTTGGCCAGACGTGCTACGTTCATTTGTTGTTTTGCTGATAATACATTTTTGTAATCTGAAAGCAAATGTATGCTTAATGGAAACAGTGCAGCCAAAACACACCCTAACATGTGCCAGACTGGTTATAGGCACTAGGGACAAGTGAGTAAAACAAACGCCAGTCTCTGCCCGGGTGCACTTAGCGTCTCATGGGGGGGAGACACAATAAGAATAGGTGGACGACGTGGCACTCCGGAAAGTGTGGGTGCTGGGGAAATGACAGGAGCAGGGTGAAGGGGTCAAGTGTGGGTGGGATTTTAGGTTGGGGGGATCAAGGGGACATTTGAGCCCAGATCTGAGGCAGGGGAGGGATGTGCTGTTTGAATGTCGGGGGACCCCCAGACCTTGAAGTGCCCTTGGACTTGGGACAGTGAGGAGCTATGTGTGGCTGAAGGCGAAGAGGGCTAAGCTGAGATCCAAGGGTTGGGGTCTTGCAATGCATAGGAGGTATCATAAGGACCCCAGCTTTGATTCTGGGTGGGGGCAAATCCACCTGCCTGTGGCTGCTCCACTTACTGCTGCGTGGCTGGGGGTGAGCATGTGCGTCTCTGAGCCCATTTCATCCTGTGGGAAGTGGGGGGATGTGACTCCTTCTGTCACAATGCAGGTGCCAGGAGGCTGCGGCTGCTGAGGGGTGAAATGAGCCCGGCACACGCAGGGCCTGCAATGGCGCTGGGCCCTGTGCAGGCGGTGCCGCGGGTCAGCTCTGGGAGTCCACAGTGGACTTGGCTCGGGGAAGGGGCCCTGGCCCTGAGGCTCTGCTTTGTGTGTTTCAGGCGGCCAACATGTCTGGGACGTTTGGAGGAGCCAACGTGCCACCAAACCTGTACCCTGGCGCCCCCGGGGGTGGTTACCCTCCCGTCCCCCCTGGGGGCTTCGGGCAGCCCCCTCCCACCCAGCCGTCGGTCCCACCATATGGAGTGTACCCACCCCCTGGAGGAAATCCACCCTCTGGGGTGCCCTCCTACCCTCCATTCCCAGGGGCCCCCGTGCCAGGCCAGCCCATGCCACCCCCTGGACACCAGCCCCCAGGGCCCTACCCTGGGCAGCCACCAGTGACCTACCCTGGGCAGTCTCCAGTGCCACCGCCTGGGCAGCAGCCGATGCCAAGCTATCCAGGATACCCGGGGTCCGGGACCGTCACTCCTGCTGTGCCCCCAGTCCAGGTGAGTGCTGTCTGGGTCTAGGCCCCAAAGGCGGAGACGTGGCGGGGGAGGCGGGGGACTTGGAGCTATAACCTCTTATTTTCATAAAGGCTGTCACTCTGTCCCAGTTACTCTTCCTTGGGTAGCTTTCTTTCAGTCTGAGGGAGCTTCCCTGCCCCTGTCCTCCCTGTTTGCCTGCTGGGGGCCCTGTGTCACTGCTGCCTGCCCTGTGTGTGATAGGAGCCACCAGGCCACTGGTCTCAAGGCATATGCCCAGTGGCTCCCTGTCTGCAGTGCCCTCGTACTGTTCTCCCAGACAGGTTTTGGAAGATTGTTAAATTCTTAAAAGGAAAAGGGTTGGCAGTTCCTCCCGGGTTGATCTTGGCTCATGTCGGAGAACTGCTCCTGTTTGCAGGAGCCGAGAATTCATTGTCATGGTTACATGGCCAGCCCTGCCCAGCACTGAGCTGTGGTATGTGCTGGGTGACTATTTTAGACAGAGGGACCCCTCTCCTCTACTCCACCCCCTGCACTGTCCTCCGCCCTCCCTCTCTTATCATTTCTCTGAGCTTATCTCTAACTGTATTTATTATCACCAGCTTGTACTAGTCACCAGGAGACACCTGCCAGGGGACAATTTAGCCTGATGTGTCCAAGTTGGCTGGGGTTTGCAGGCGGTCAGAGTCTAGAGATCAGAGCCAAGGGGCTGGCCCTTGTCCAGGAGTAGTGGGGCTGCTGTGTGCTGTAGGGCAGGGTGGGTGCCTGCACCCCCTGAGGGTACCGGCCCATCAGCACTGCTCATGGGGGCTGTGCTGCGGAGGCATGTCGGGAAAAGCCGGTGGCTCCTGTTCCCAGGTCCCACATTTCGCCAAGATCTGGCCCCCAGCCCTGGACGACCTGGGTGTAGGGCAGGCAGATTGTCAGCATCAGGACCCAGCTGTAGGTGGGCTCCTGGCCCTGGCAGCCAGGGCAGAAGCTTCCAGTACCAGAACGCCAGGACAGACCACGGTCAGGTTAGGCAGACTCTGTGTGGAGGGCTCTGTGTCGTCAGTTGCCGGCCCCCTCAGGCCTTTGTCCGAGTCTGGGAGTGCAGCAGCTTTGCATCTGGGGCAGGCGACATGCAGGTCATTTGACCCTGTGACTGTTTGCCCCAGTAGTTTGGAAACCGAGGCACCATCACAGATGCATCCGGCTTTGACCCCCTGCGAGACGCCTGAGGTCCTTCGGAAGGCCATGAAAGGCTTTGGTAAGAGACTCCTGGTGGCTCAGACCATAGCCCCCCTGCCTGGTTCCCCAGGCCGCTTCTAGTGGCTTTCTGGGCTGGGGTGGCTCCCACTGGTGATGGGAGGAAAGGTGTGCCCAGGCCAGGAAAGCCTACACCCGCAGCCCTGCTCCCCTCCCCCAGGGACGGATGAGCAGGCCATCATCGACTGCCTGGGGAGCCGCTCCAACAAGCAGCGGCAGCAGATCCTCCTGTCCTTCAAGACAGCTTACGGCAAGGTGAGTGCTGGGGGACGTGGGAGGGCGGCGAGCCTTGGTCCTCCCCAGGCCAGGCTCTCCACTGCCAACACGGCTCTCCTCACCCCTGCTTTTCCCTGGGGTGGACCATGAGCTGCATTAGGGTATATCCTGCTGCCCGACCAGCTGGTGGCCTCCCCGATGCTGGCACCTGTTAGATGTGAAATGTGAAAGAGTCCCCAAGGACGTCTCTAGTCTTTGGGATATTGAGTTTTGGGGACAGGTTCCCGGATGTCTGTCTTCTGGCCCTGTTCAAGTTAAGCCCCCTGCTCACGGGGACTGAGCACACAGCTTTCGTGCCCCCCCCTCCCACCCACACTCAGCCTCCCCTCACTCTCGCTCTTCAAGACTACCCAGGGAGTGCAGTGGAGGATGGCCCAAGTGCTTGGGCCCTGCACCCCATGGGAGGCCAGGAGAAGCACCTGGCTCCTGCCATCGGATCAGCGCGGTGCGCTGGCCGCAGCGGCCATTAGAGGGTGAACCAATGGCAAAGGAAGACCTTTCTCTCTCTCTCTCTCACTGTCTACTCTGCCTGTCAAACAGACAAACAAACAAACAACCACAAAAAAACCAAAACTACCCAGAAGGCTGAGCTGACGGGCGATCTTCCAAGGAAAAGGCTTTAATGTGCCACACACATGCGGGGGGGGGGGGGGGGGGAGTGTACATTTTGAATTTTTGGGTTTGAATCCTAGAAGCTGAAAATGGGGTAAATCCTGAACAGGTGAGTGTTCCAGCCCAGGGCTTCCCAAACTGCAGTGTGCTGTGTGCTGTGGCTGCTCTGGCTTGGCAGGTCCAGGCTGGGGCCCGAGCGAGGCCTTTCTCAGGCACCCCCGTGCTGCTGGACCTCCGATCTGGGGTGTTGTTTAGATTTCATCACCTTCTGTGGTTCCTAAAACAGGCTCCTCTTTGTTTATTTCAATTCCCGATCAGGATTTGATCAAAGATCTGAAATCCGAGCTGTCAGGAAACTTTGAGAAGACCATCTTGGCGCTGATGAAGACCCCAATCCTTTTTGACGCTTATGAGATAAAGGAAGCCATCAAGGTGTGTGTGTGTGTGTGTGTGTGTGGACACACAGCCCAGGAGGAGGCCTGCATGGTGTGGTACAGCTTACTCATCAGCTCCTGCCTCTCCTGGGTTAGAGCCCGCGTGCTGGAGAAAGGGGCGTTTTCCCTGAGAGGCGGATAACTCGCCGGTTGTCATCAGAGGGCACCTGCGCCCCGCTCCGTGTCTGGACGGTGGGAGCTGGGCTGTGGAGGAAGCTAGTGGTGGGGGCGGGGTGAGCTGAGGAGGTGCAGGAGGCCGTGGTTGGTGTCTTCGTTCATTCAGACCCTGTGGTCAGCAAATAGCAGAATTGTGCTTGAGGAGCGTAGGCGAAACAGAGGTGAAGGCGTGGTTGTGAGGACCGCGAGGCCCGGCAGGGAGAGGGCCGGGAGCAGGGGCCGCAGAGGCTGCGGGAGCAGAGCCGGGCAGGGCTGCCCCCCGTCTGCGTTCTTCTCTCGCCTGCTCCTGTGCTTTCTCTTCCATGCTGCTTCCAGCAGGCCTCGCCCCTGTCAGATCCAGCCATACAGGAGCCCAGCCGTCCCTGTCCTCACCCCTGTCAGATCCAGCCACACAGGAGCCCAGCCGTCCCTGTCCTCGCCCCTGTCAGATCCAGCCATACAGGAGCCCAGCCGTCCCTGTCCTCGCCCCTGTCAGATCCAACCATACAGGAGCCCAGCCGTCCCTGTCCTCGCCCCTGTCAGATCCAACCATACAGGAGCCCAGCCGTCCCTGTCCTCGCCCCTGTCAGATCCAACCACACAGGAGCCCAGCCGTCCCTGTCCTCGCCCCTGTCAGATCCAGCCACACAGGAGCCCAGCCGTCCCTGTCCTCGCCCCTGTCAGATCCAGCCATACAGGAGCCCAGCTGTCCCTGTCCTCGCCCCTGTCAGATCCAACCACACGGGAGCCCAGCCGTCCCTGTCCTCGCCCCTGTCAGATCCAGCCATACAGGAGCCCAGCCGCCCCTGTCCTCGCCCCTGTCAGATCCAACCATACAGGAGCCCAGCCGTCCCTGTCCAGATTGCAAATGGGGGCAGCTTCTGATTGGCTTAGCCTGGGCTCCCTGTGGCCCCCTACCCCCCGGGGGTGAGTCCTCTCCATCCCGTGCAGTGCTCGGGCTCTGCACGGGGCTCCTGTGTGTGCAGCCCGTACCTCAGAAGGATCTGTGCCCGCAGGCCTAGGAGGCACTGCGTAGAAGGGCAGAGAGCTCGGTGTGTGGCCTGGCACAGGGAACACTGTGCATAGATGCACCTGCATACTCCATCCTAGGGAGGGGGCCAGGAGGCAACTGGGGAGGGCCACAGCCTGGGCCGCCCCCAGCAGCTTTGGGTGGTGATAAACAGCACAGGCTTGGGTGGGCTTGGCTGTTGCTAAGCAGCTGTGTGTCCTTGAGCATCTGTGGTGGGAGCAGGGGATGCTCTCAGGGTGTGGAGAGCGCTGGATAATGCTTCAGCCCTTTGTAAACGGCAGATGGTTGACCCTCGTGGCGGGAGTCATCGTCAAACAGCTGCCGGTGTGTGAGGCTTCCTGCCTGGCCTGCGCTGGTGCTCCACCCACGTTAACTCATTTAATTCTTCCCTGTGAGCTCGACACCCCACCACTCCCATTCTGTAGACAAGGAGCCTGAGGCACAGAGAGGTTCAGTAACGTGCACAAGGATCACACAGCTGATAAGCTGCGGAGCCAAGGGTCAGGCCGGCACAGAGCCAGGCTGCTGGCCTGGTCCTGTGCCTCCTGCCACCCCTGGCCTGGTCATTCCTGCTGTCCTCGTGGTTATTGCCTTCTCACAGGTGTCTCCAGACTCCCTCGGTCCCCCTGGGGACTGTCACTGTTCTCCATGTCCACTCCATGTCTCACCTTTAACCCATTGTCTTAGTTGTGTGTCTTCTCACGGGCGGAACTAGAATAAACAGACCGTGGGCAATCCCCGCTGGTGACCCTTGTCCCCGTCGTCCAGGCTGGGGAGCCGCACGCTGGGTGCGTCTGTGCTGGGGGCCCCTCCTGCCGGAGCACCTGCCGTCTTTGCTGGGTGTGGGTGAGGGCATGGTGCCAAGCGTGGGGTTTGTTGTGTTCTCTGCGTGGCAGGGGGCTGGCACCGATGAAGCCTGCCTGATCGAGATCCTCGCTTCCCGCAGCAATGAGCACATCCGGGAACTGAACAAAGCCTATAAGACAGGTTAGGCTGCCCTGGGCCCTGGGCCGGCCGCGGTCCCTCTGCTTTCTCTGCCTTGGACTCACCTCTGTCCTATCACTCCATTTCCTGCCACTCCCAACATGCTGAGCTTTGGCCTAAGACCTGCCCCAGCCTGCAGGTGACTAAGGTGGGGGAGACCCGGGGAAACCCTCTTGGGTGTGTTTGAGGCCAAGCCAGAGCAACCAGGTCAGGACGGAGGTCATCGGCCTGGTCATTCCTGGAGGGCCGCCTGGGCCCTGGGCCCTGCCCTGGCTGGCGCCCACTGCTGCCTGTGTAAGCAGCAGGCCGCTCCTTGCTGTCTCCTTGTCAGAATTCAAGAAGACCCTGGAGGAAGCCATTCGAAGCGACACGTCAGGGCACTTCCAGCGGCTCCTCATCTCCCTCTCCCAGGTACCTCCCCATTGCAGGGTCCACACCAGCCATGCCTGCACACACCACCATGAGGAGGGGGCAGAGGAAGTCCTTACTGATACCACTTGTGGGCGGGCGGAGGCTTCACGGGCTGGGAGGAGATGGCTGGCACGCGGGTGTGCCCAGCGAGGCAGAGCTCCGCTGGAGAGGGGGAGGGGTGCAACCTCCCTCCGCTGCCCGGGCCCGCGCTTCAACTTAGCACGTGTGACCAGACTCGCCGGGAACGCGGGGAACTTTCAGGAAAGTGAGTGGAGAGGCAGAACCGGAAGTTCCTGTGCGTGGGGCGTCCGGGGAAACCCGATGGAGGCACAGGCTGAGGTCATTTCTCACCGCAGAGCTTACTTAGGGCTGTGGGGGCACAGGAGGCAGCAGTGGAGAGGAGGGGGATGCGCCCTCCAAGGAGGGGCCTTGCTCAGCCAGCCTGCTTCCTTTCAGGGAAACCGGGATGAAAGCACAAACGTGGACATGTCCCTCGTCCAGCGAGATGTCCAGGTGAGTGTGAGGCCGGGCCAGGAACCCGGCCCGAGCTTCCGAAGCCAGGGTGTCCCCCACTTTCCTGCTTCCCAAGAGAGGTACTGTGCGGTGTGAGGAGCAGCAGCAGGGAGTTTCAGCCATGCTCTGCTGTTCCTCGAGCCGGTCACCCCAGCTTCTGGCCTCGGTTTCCCCACCTCTGCGAGGGAACACGTGAGATGATAAATATGGCCAGAGGAGCTAAGTCACAGCTGTGGCTTTGGGATGTCATGTGGCCTTGGTACATTGCCTGTGTTTTATCACCTATACCCTTCAGTTCACAAGGCTGTTGAGGGTCTGAGCCTAGAAACAGGCCATCACATTAGTTGTGCAGCCTGGGAATTCTGCCCTTGTCCCCCAAGTGAGTTGCAGACAGAGAGTAAGTCTAGGCATCTCAGCTCCTCCCTAGAGAAACCTGCATTTCCCACTAATGGATCAGACCACGTGTTCCGGCTGGGGAGAGCCACAGCTTCCTGGTGGGTTGGAGCTGGCCGTACCTCATGTCCCCTCCCCCTCCGCCCTTTCCTCCGCTCCTGCCACCCTCGGCAAGGCGTTCACCATCAGCCATCGGCTGCCATCTGTCGGGTTGGACCAGGACCTTGTGAGATGTTCCCTGGTTAGGTGAGGGGAGAGCTGCTCTTCTTTTTCTAGATGAAGACACTGAGGGTCAGACAGGTTGAGCCTGTGCCCAGGGAAACATGGAGGCAGAGCCTGGGGAGGTCCAGCCCCCTGCTTCTGTTGCCCAGCTCCAATAGCACCCACCTGCCTGCAGGTCTGCCTGAATCGACACCTGCCCAGCGTGTGACTTTTTTTTTTTTAAGATTGATTTATTTATTTGAAAATCAGAGTTACAGAGAGAGGGAAGGAGAAGAGACAGAGAGATCGTCCATCATCTGGTTCACTCTCCAAATGGCCACAATGGCTGGAACTGAACCAATCCAAAAGCCAGGAGCCAGGAACTTCTTCTGGGTCTCCCATGTGGGTTCAGGGGCCCAGGCACTTGGGCCATCTTCCGCTGCAGGCCGTTAACAGGGAGCTGGATCAGAAGTGGAGCAGCCAGGACTCAAAGTGGTGCCCACAGAGGATGCTGGCATCCCAGGCAGCAGCTTAATCCGCTGAGCCACAGCGCTGGCGCCTGGCTTGTGACGTTTGTTCCCTGCTCTGGGTTCAGGGCTGCAGGTCCTGAGGCTCTGGCTGATTCTTGGCCCCGTGGGAATTTCACAGACCATTGCCGCGCAGAGGCGGAAGTTGGCTCAGGTTCAGGGTCCCGTGCTGCGCTGCTTCGGCCTCACCTCCACCTGCAAGATCTCTGGGTATCTGTCCTCTGCTCATGGGCGTCAGTGCCTCTCAGGTCCGAGAGCTGCTGCGTGAGGCCGCACAGGCACTTCGGGGCCATCCAGGTCAGAGGTTGCAAACTGGGCAAATGTCCTGGACTCAAGCCAACCCTTGAGGCGCTTAACAGACAAGCGCAAATTCTACCCCTCTGCAGACATCATGTCTAGGCCATAAACCTTGGGGGAAGTAGAAAATCACATAGGATCCACACCTGCAACCGTCATCAGGCAACTGTTGTAATGTTTATGGCCTCACGTATTCCTTCTTAGGGGTAGGGGAACTGCTGTTTAAGGCTGGGAAATTTCCACGTAGAAATCGAGATTAGTGGCCTCGCTGGGCAACAGACCTGGTGGCTGGGAGCCTGCTGTCCACTCTCTTTGTCCATAGCTGGTGTTGAGAAGCTGTGTTACAGCTGGCCTGTTGTCCCTCAGTTAAGGGCCCCGGCTGTTCCTCTGGGCCTTCAAGCTTGTAACCCCAAATCGCCAGCCTTCGCCTGTTAGGGAGGAGGAAGCTGAGGCTGAGAGGGCCTGTGGCTCGCTGCCAGCAGAGCTGGGACTTGAGCCCAGGCCTCTCATTCCATTTTTTCCTCTGCGGTGCAGCTCTCTGGGTTGGGTTAGGGCTGTTCCTTGCCTGACCTGGTTGTCCTGGTCCTGAGCACCCCCACCCCTTCATGCCCCAGCTGCTCCTGTACCACCCAGTGGGTGTCTGGCTCTGCAGAGGCTCCACACAGCTGCACCCCCGCAGCCAAGCACTGCACCCATATCCTCTTCTAGACCTGCAGAGCCAGCCTCTACCCAGCTTTTCTAGGTGACCTGGGCTCGGTGTCTGGGCCAAGGAGGCCTGCGTTGCATGTGTGTCTTGCTATCTGTCCAGGAGCTGTATGCAGCCGGGGAGAACCGCCTGGGAACAGACGAGTCCAAGTTCAATGCCGTTCTGTGTTCCCGGAGCCGGGCCCACCTGGTGGCAGGTAAGGCAAGACCGCCCAGGGGCAGTTAGATGAGGGTCCTAGCAAAGCCTGCAGGAAAGCGTGACTGCTCCTCTCTCCCTGGGGCGTTCGCTTCCGCAGAAGCGCCCCCTGGTGGTGACTGCAAAGATGCAGACCCAGGGTTTGCTGAGGTCTGCAAGCCGCCAGCTGTGGAGGAAGCAGAGAAGATGGGAGACAGAGCCTGCCCTTGGGAGTGTCGCATACGAAGCGATCCCAGCGGTAGTACTGGGTGACCTTCACTTACTTGTCCACCCAACACATAAATGGAGCTTGTGCCCATGCCAGCCCCCCCGGTAGAGCAAGTGTAGGGGAGCAGGAGTGCACAGAGCTCCACGGAGCCCCTGTCCTGTCTTGTTTGGAGAGACAGACGCGAGCAAATGCTAAGTGAAATCATAGCAGGAGGTCAGTTCTGTAGGGAAAGATGATAAAGCTGACACCAGGGACGGGAACGTGGGCGGGGGCAGCCCTCACCCAGGCGCTGCCGTCTG